CATCCTCTAATGCGTCTTCGGTTGGTGCATAAACTGAAAATATAGTTAAATTAGACCATTTACCTCTTAATCTTAATGATGCAGATTCGTTCGTTTATTGGTTTAAAGTCTAATAACTCTGATTCTAGTCTTTCATGTATTACAAAGCCACATCCTCTTCCATGTCGAGTTTCATGTCCAGACCACAGTACTAATAACTTCTCCATGTGTATTGTTCCAGATCCTGTCCATCTCACCTCCTGAATGGCTACTACATCATAGTTCAAGTTTTCTAGTTGTTTTATCGCTGTCGTGGCAATTCCAGGTCTGTACCAACTTAGTACATTCCATGTTCCTAATAGAATATTCTTTGTCCGTAGCTTTCGTCGTTTGTTTTTATAATCTGTCCTATTCCGAGGCAATAATATTCGTTTCATAGCAATATTTTTTTTACTTGTATGGGTCGCTGGTCCGTAGCAAAACCTCCTTTTCGGAGGACCATGTTCTCCCTTCCTCGTTCGCCCTGATCCTGCCTTCCATTGAAATTGGTTACCCAATCTTCAACAAGGTTGCTCAGATTTCCGGGGTCCACCCGTGTGGTCAAGACCACACTTCGTGGAGGTGAGGATAGGAATTGAGTAGGAGATGCTAGAGATGCTAACTGGAAACAGCATCTTATAATGCGAATCACTACTCCTTTGAATTCTCCATTCCATTGCAGTACAATGAAATTTATATGGAACGAGCATTGAAAGCTGTTGCTAGTGGAAGTATGTTTATAAGAAAGGCCTCTGAGAATTATGGAGTACCTTATACGACCTTACAAGAAAAAATTCGAAAAAAGAGGCAACATCTCAAGATTGGAGCGCCACCAGTTCTTTCTGAACTGAAAGAAAAAAAGCTGGTTGACTGTCTACTAGTGTGCGCGGACTGGGGATATCCTCTACACAGTATTGACATTCGATATATGGTTCAGCAGTTTCTTAACAGAGCCAGAAGAAGAGAAAAAAGATTCAGAGACAATTTACCAGGACCAGATTGGTTCTTCAAATTTATGGACCACCGACATAAGGATCTCACTCCTAAACTTGGCAGAGAATACAAAAAGGATAAGGGCTGCAGTCACTTATGAAACAGTTGAAGAGTATTTTCATCATCTTGGAGAGTCTTTGAAAGGAGTCGCACCGTCAAATGTAATAAACTATGACGAAACCAACTTCACGGACGATCCAGGAGCTGTAAAAGTCGTGGTCAGAAAAGGATCAAAACACGCTCATCGAGTGATGGACACGTCGAAAACGAGCACTAGCGTTATGATTTCAGTTGCTGGTGATGGAACACTGTTGCCATCTCATACAGTGTACAAGGCAAAGCATATGTATGAAGGATGGGCCGATGGAGGCTTTCCTGTACACAATATAATAGAACGATCAATGGTTGTACACAATATAATAGAACGATCAATGGTTGGTTTGACAGCACAACTTTTGAAGACTGGTTTCTATCGATAGCATTACCCTACTTCAGAAACTTAGAAGGCACTAAAGTAATGATAGGGAATAATTTATGCAGTCAATGTTATGGAGCAATGTGAAAATAATGGTATAAAGTTTTTACTTTTACTTTCAAACTCCACAGATTTATTACAACCACTTGACGTTATCCATTTTCGACCTTTAAAGAATGCTTGGAGGAAAGTGCTCACAATTTGCAAAGACAGGGGTGTCCTGCTAAAAAAGAGTGTTAAAAAAAATAGAAAAAGTGGGTCTGAAATCAACCTCAAACACCCTAGCAGGCTTTAAAGCTTGTGGCATAGTGCCTTTAAATCCAGATCAAGTGCTCAAAAGAATACAACATTTGAAAAAAGGAGAAAACAAAAATAGCGAACAGGAAGAGATTAGAATCGAGCAAATATGGACAAATACCATTGTAGATTAGGGTGGGCCGACAAAATTTTTTCTGGAAAATAACAACGCCTGCGGTCAAAAAAGTTGAGTTATACTAAAACACAAATTTTAAGTCCAAAATGAGTAGCTAAAAATATTTTTTTCCACTGCCACAAAGACTCTATATTTTTTTAATATAAAAGGTCATTGTGGCAGTGAAAAAAATAAAAAATAATAATTATTTCAAACGCAGATCTTTATATTTTTTTATTATATAATTTTTGAAACATCAGGGTTATTTATTTTGTAACTTAAAAAAATTTAAATAAAATCTGTATTGTTCTGGCGGTTTGATGCATACTTTATAAAGTATAGTAAACTTTATTTGCGTATTTTTCCACTAACTAATAAGTAGAGAAAAATTTATTTTAGGGACCTACTTCAAAGAGTGTGCCGAAATTCCCCAATAACAATAAAGTAGACGTTAGTATAAACAAAGTTAATATTACCGATTATAATATATTATCATTCTTAAAATAACGTGACATTGGAGGTCAACGCTTCGCTTATGCTGCAGATTTTGCAGTGGTGTAAGTGTAAACCAATATTTCAATCAATTAAACCGCCTAGCGACACTTAAATTAGTTTTAGTGTTTTACCGACAGTTGAGTAAAATACCTGTACGATATTTGTCAAGCAGTGAAAAGTGGTTCTTGTTCAGAAAAACTTTCTAAGAGACAGCCTGGAAAAATAGTTCATTCTCGGTGGCTTACCACTGCTTCCCGTATCCTTCGGTTATACGTAGCAACCAGAAACTCATCGGAAAATTTACAAATACTAATCCATTTTGTAATGAAAGTGTATGCGCCCATGTGATTTTGTATTAAGACTCACCCGTCATGCATTTATGGTGCAAGGCATCTATTCAAGACAATAAGACTCTGCGACTATTTACTACCAGAATTGAAAGACATAGTCTATAAATGTATTCAAAGAAATGGATACTTTGGGAGCCCAGAAAATATTATTTTGGCTATGTTGTTTGATAAACGTAAACACATAAGACAATTGGGGTTCCAAAGAATTTTGAAGAGCAGACAGTTAAATTACAATGATCAGCGACATTTCGTAGTACCAAAATTATTTTTTGGCAGTAAGGATTACTTTGAGATTATCGAATGCCAGAAAGTGTTATGGACAGAGCCTCCTGTAACTATGAAGCTATCAAAAGACCAACTAAGGGAAGTTGTTGAAAATCCTGAAACCAGTCTTTTGGCATACGTAAAATCATACCCTTGTCACACACAAGCGGCTGAGAGAGCCGTCAAAATAGTAACAGAAGGTTCAGCTTCTGTCTGTGGAAGTGAAAAAGGAGACGGTTATATAAGGAACAGGCTGAAATCAAGTGAAAATATGCCGAAATATGAATTAAAGAAAGACTTTTTTTTTTAAATAATGTGATTGTTACTTTTGAAAGACATTCTGTTTTGTATCGTTATATATCTATAGATAAACTATTTTTGTATTTGTATTGTTGTATTATGTGTTCAAAACAAATTTAGCTTTAATATAAATTATTTTATATTTTATTTTTTTAATATGTATATATTAAATTTATAAAAAATAAATCTACCATACAATACATTTTTTTTTTGAAAAATTATTAATTTTATACAGCGCTGTGGCAGTAGAAAAAAAAATTAGTTGTCAAAAAAAATAATATGATCAAATTTATCGTATAAAACACTTTTTTTGACTCAGGCAACCATAATAAATTAAAAAAAAAAAACGAATTTGACATAATATTAAATGATTGAATTTTTTCGCAAAAATCTCGTTCTTATATAGCTCTGTGGCAGTGGAAAAAAATTAAATTAATTATAAAAAAAAACACTGTGAAATAAGTTATCTTATCATACATCTTTTCTGGGGTCAGACAACTCAATTAAAAAAATAAAATAAAAACACATTACTCAACGGCCCACCCTATTGTAGATCCTTTGAGAGAACTAAGAACATGTTCAAGTGAAAATCCAAAGAGAGGTAAAACGATAAAGGTGGCAGCAGGAAAAAGTATTTCTAAGAAAGACCTTGTACAAGAAAGTGAAGGTTCTGAAAGTGAGCAAGGGATACACGACAGAACTTTTTCAGAGTTGGAAAATGATGAGGAAATTTCAGAGGACACACCCCAGGTTTCTGATGATACACATTTTCAGCTTGGAGAATTTGTTGTCGTTAAATTTGTTACAAACAAAGGAGATCGGTTTTTTGCTGCTAAAATTACAGATATTTCTGACGATGTGGTCACACTTCAATGCTTGAGGAAAAAGTCATTGAAAAAACAAATTTGCTTTGCTTATCCAGAAATCGAGGATATCGCCATAGTTCAGAATGAACAGATTATACAAAGAATACAAGCAATTCCTCTTAGAAGAGGAACATTTACTTTCAGGGGGATTTCCAACCTTACATTAGAATAAGTTAGAAAGTACCAAATTACTAATGTACCACCAAAGAACCAATGTCTTAATTTTGTTTTTTAGAAATAAGCGATTTCTTTTATGTGTTAAGCTTTTTCAATGTTTTAAACCCAAATTTGTATTTATTTTTTAAATAAAGTTCTTTAGTAAACAAATCTTATGTGGATTTTTTACAATTTATTGCATAAAATATTGTTTAAAAAACTGTTTTGTGTGATCGGTTTTACCTCAAAGCTTGCTAAAAAGCAACATAAACGCAATTCAACACCCGATCGGTTTTACCCCAACCTATGGGGTAAAACTGATCACCTTTTGAAAATATATGAGAAAAAAACTATTAGGATGATTTCAAAAGAAAAACCACTAATTGGCACTTCAGACTTTAACATATATAATTTGCAGCTTTCTCGATTCAAAAATAATCATGAAAGCATGAAAAAAACCTCAAATTTTGGTCGGTTTTACCCCGTTCAATGGTACAAGAGTACAATTTCTTTTATGATACAAAAATATAAAGTAAACATCATATCGAATTGATTAGATTACACAATCTCTGCATAACAACAACTATTTATAGATCATATAAATCAGCTATTAAGCAAAAAGCCTTTAACAATGGATAATTAATTACTACAATGCAAATAGCCATTCTTACCTAATGTAGCTATCATACTATAAAACATTATTCCAAATAAACTGTTTGGTTTGTAAAATTGTGAATCCTCTCCAAAAATACCAAGTCCTTTTCCATATCTGTAAATAAAAATTAAAAACAACAAATAAATAACACAATAACAGTCTATGTAAATGATTATAGTAAAACAATTTTGTTAAAATTGACTATGTGAACTGGGAGTTCTTTAATCACTAAGATCAGGATAAGTTATGTTTTTATGATTCTAACAAAAGTACAGTTATTAACATTTTGACTACAAAGCCATTGTTTCATTTAGCAGGTGGCGCTTATTGTCCAGCTTGATAAAGGTAAACTTAACTTAGAAGAGTATATGTTCAGGTCAATATTTTATTCAACATTATCTTTTGTAAGAATCTATGCCCCACAAATGATTAAACAACTCAAATATAAAAGTGACGCCCAACTGGCACCCGTACAAATATTCTTTAACTTTATGTTATATGGATAAAACTTACATTCAGGTTTAACATTAAAACAATAACTGTTAGAAAGCTGTTTTACCCCGTATAAAATTAGCAGTGAAAATAGAACAAAAATAGAAATAACAAATTATTTGGAGATATCTAGCACTTATAGGCTTCCCACTTGAACAATTTAAAGGCTAGAATAGTTACATTATAATGAATTATTTAGTAAACAATCTGAAAACCGAATATCATTATCATAAGTCTCATATGGCATTAGGAATACTATGGAATTAGGAGGAAATAAAACAACAAAATAGAATATTTTAAATTAACTTACTTAGATTGCATGGCCTTACTACAGCTAACCTGTGGGTTAATATCACACATAGGTTTATAATTATCATTTCTTTCCAATTCGAGTCCTATATAATAACCATAAAGGGACAAACCGGCCCCACAAATGCAAGACAAAGTTAATAACGAATTAATTCTTGGTAATGAAATAAGATACATATTTAAAATATTCTACTAAAACTTAATGATTAAAGAACTTAACACGTTTGAATTTTGCGAGAATTTAAAAATAGAACTGAATGATAGAATGACAAATCTTTATTTTGATGTTTTGACGTTAAGAACTAGGACTTGTGACTTAGACCCTATATAATTATAGGTAATAGAATGGACAAGACAATAGAAAGGACAAGACTTCAACTTTTTATATGAAATATTATATGAAGTCTAAGTATAAAAAAAAGAAGATTAACTGACACTGACACTGACAGCTGTTTAAATACAAGCTATCTATTCCTATCAACGGTTTTGTTGTTTGTAAATGTAAATATCTGCGGTTTATATTAACTAATTATTGTATTATTTTATGAGTTTACGATGTATATAAAGTCTATTGTACTGGACGGATTCAAATCCTATGGCCAACGTACAGAAATTATTGGATTCGATGAACAATTCAATGCTATTACAGGACTAAATGGTAGCGGGAAATCAAACATTCTAGATTCTATTTGTTTCGTGCTGGGAATTTCAAATCTTACACATGTAAGTGCAGTTGTATTTAATGTCATATACTGCAAATGTTTTATTTCTTAATATGTAATGAATATTTGGCGATTTAATTAAAATTGACTCTAAACCATTTGTTTTTAGGTTAGAGCTAGTAATCTCCAGGACTTAATTTTCAAAAGTGGACAAACTGGAATTAATAAAGCAACTGTCTCGATAACTTTTGACAATTCCAATGAAGCACAATGCCCCCCAGGCTTCGAAAACTATAGAGAAATCACAATCACCAGACAAATTGTTATGGGAGGCAAAAACAAATACATGATAAATGGAACAAATGTGCCCAATAAAAAGATCCAAGATCTATTCTGTTCGATACAATTAAACGTGAATAATCCTCATTTTTTGATTATGCAAGGAAAAATTACTAAAGTGTTAAATATGAAACCTCCTGAAGTAAGACATTATTTATAAATGTTTGTAAAATAAGATATTTTTTTAGTTACTCTACAGCTTTGATAAAAATTAAAGCTAAGTAGTAGTCACTGTTTTATATGGGTATGATTGATTGTTGAGTAGGATATGTTGCACAGTTAAAGAATGTTGGATGTACATTTTTGATAATATGAAATTCATATGTTAATCACATAATAATAATCAACAAACACTCTGCCAAATTGCATTAAAATGCTTTGTTAAATATACCTTACGGGCATGCAGAGCAACTTTTTTTTCAATCACAGACTGAGAAGGCATGCAACATGTTAATATGATTTGTTCTTCCATTTATTTCAAATAATTAATATTTTAATCATTCAATACTTTATTGGTGCATCATTGTAATAATGGCCAACTGAATGGTACACATTGGTTCAATTCAGTTCTCCCACAATGTCTTCCTGATGATACTTAAAAGTTAAAACAAGTTTAGAAGAATGGTGAGAGATTCAAATTGAAGCGAAATGCAATCATCTATATTTCATTTATTGTAACATTTTGTAGTTTTTGTTGGTATTTAAGTATTCCTTCAATTTTTTTTTTGTCACATTTCTTGAACTTTGGACTTAATCCACTGGTGTATATCTTTGCTGAAGTCTTTTCCGCTAACTGCATTTTGTGATCCACACTTTCAGCTGAGCTGGAGGTATAGTGTTATATGGTTTTAATTTTGGAAGTAATTGATCTTACTGTAAAATAATTGGGCCTTACAGGAGGCATTCAGTTCCTTACCATTTCCTGTTAAACTTATGTTGAATATAGGTTTTTTGATAATCCAAGGAGTTTTAAATTTGGTTTGGTAAATATGATAAAAGTATATATGCATTATAACTGGCTACCAATATTATATCTGTTAAGCATTTCATATAAAGAGGATTTTATCTAATTTTGTAAACTAAGATCTCATCTTCTTATTTACTTTTATTGCAATATAATTTTAGTCGTGATTTCTACAGCTATTACTCTAATTTGTAAATTCTCCAATTTTAATGTTTAAATTGTCTTTATTTAGGTCTAGTGGTAGGCTAAACTGTGATTCCGCAATCACAGGTATAACTGTGATTGTGATTTTTTATTCAATATGATTTTTACCTGTGTGATTTTGTTTTAACAGAGCAACGAAATGGTTGTATGTTAAACTCTAAATAAAAAGTGTTACCATTATGGACTATCATAAAATTCTACAGGTGTTATTATTTCAGTATATCTGATATGGTCTGATGTTTACTTACATGTGTGTTTTTAAATTAAATATGCTCTTTTTATAAGATAACTTTGCTGTACAAATACTGCATGATGCATAATTATGTATCATCTACTTTTATAAAAAAGTTCCATAAACTACCAATTTTTCGTTTTTTTATTTGGCATTGGTGGCATTTTTAAAATGTATGATAATAAAAATTATTGAATATCGATACAAATATGACAAGTTACAAAAATTCAATAAATTAAAACTATAAATACCCATTTCATTTTCTTCAAATAATATTTATTAACATACTAATATACACTAAACTAATGATATTCATATTCATCCAATGACGATATAATATTATATTTGCCTTTGCATTCATCATTAAAAAGAGACTTTATAATACTGCCGACTACCTCTATCTTGTTCCTTGTTATCCTGTTATATCTCTCATTTCACAACTTTGTGAAGGAGACAAGAACATGAAATATCACATTTTGGTGATCAAGAACTAGACATAGAAGGGAAAAAGACTGAAATGACAGTCACAGTATATTTTGTTCTTATTCACTTGTCATGTTTATTATTTTTTTAATCGCAGCTGTTAAATCACAGGGGAGTGATATTTATCCCACCTTTAATAAGGTCTTTTGTTATATAAGTTTTTATTGTTTTGTTTTGAATAAGTTTTTCTGTTATGAGATCATCTTCATATAACATACTATTAACTGGTAAAATTTAGTTTTCCTTAATACTATTAAGTAATAACAAGAAAAGAAAAAGAAACTACTACATAATCCATGACAGGTACTATTTGTCTATAATCTTTTTTTTTTAATGATTATCCCATGGCAATAAACTATATCAAATACTCTGGTAATATCAAAAAATACTGCTATGCAATTTTGTTTTTTTGCAAGTATCTTATCTATGTCTGATTCAAGATCAAAAATAAGATGTTTTCTTTCTTATGATCATTGCAATTAATTAAAGTGTAGTTAGAGTTTTTTAAACTAATGTAAAATGCTCCTATCTTCTAGAAACATTGTTTTTACCTCTTACCTATGGTTTTTGTGGTCGTAATAACAATTTTCAATGAGGTACAGCTCTAAATTGTCTTCTAACAGTGATTCAACTATACTCTGACAAAAAATTTAGGAGAGTGGCTAATAAATGTAATACGATATTCTAATTGTACAAGGTGTAAATCAAACATGCTGTTTACTAATAAGAAAATCAAAATAAAATGATACATTTTAGCAAATTAATATTTGGTCAGCACAATATATCTGAATTCGTAATTATTTACTGTTTATCTGTGGTGTTTCATGAATGCATCTTAAAACTCTTGTATTGAAATTTGAATTTCTGTGACTTATTTTATAAAATGAAAATAAGTAGAGCCCATTTTTTTTTTAAATAATTTGATAAATAATTAAGAATTGCCAAATAACAAATTGAAAGATTTTTAGTAAAAACATTTTTATTTATATAACTATTTATATTCTGGCTTTTTAATTGTAAATACTCAACCAACAGGGATCAGATGTAAAGTGAGTAACACCAAGCCGTAAACCCCTATCTCTAGTCGTACTGCTCATCTATAGATATATCTGATACATCAGCATATTCTAGGCTAAGTAACAGACTATTTAGACTTTATACCATTAAGTAACCCTTTTTGATTTCTGGCCAGGATTTAAACCATCGATTCACTAGATCAGTCACTTGAAGTTTGGTCTGCTTGGCTATCTGTCATTGGATTTTATTCTAGTCATAAATAAGCCTTTTCTGTATTTTTAAAAAATTAATAAATAGTTGAACAGACACTCCTACAATAAAAATTCATTTGTATTCCGTTTTAAACTTATCATTATCACCTATCATATTTAGTACAGATATAGTGAATTCATTCTTAACTGTTTTGGATAAAAAATATATTATGATAAACAACAATGATAAACACTAATTGCAAAAACAGTTTGCAAACATGTTTTAAATAACATTTTTGCTGATTGATCATTTACCAGTGCAATTCTTACTAATATGTTATCCAGACCATTTATTTGTCAATATTTAACAAAAATTTAATATGATGACAAATATGAATTTAATGGTAAGCCATAAGATATTTGCCGTCGTAGCACATTTCCTTATCAATAACAGTTTTTAGATAACATGAATCATTTTTCAATATGTGTGGATTTAAGAAATTGATTCCTGTAAAAGCTTTAATCATAGGAAGTCACCTACCTATATTCCCATAATAATAAGGTAATATCAGGTAATTATGAAATTCACAGATCACAAAGGCACAAACAGAGACATATGATAGAATTAATTTCTAATAAAATAGTTCAATTGAAAAAATAATAATGAAATAATCATGCTGCTGGAATTGTATAATATCAGTTGGCAGTTTTAAAATTGGTTCTTAATAATGAATCACCCTCCTTATTTTCTTGTCAGAGTATAGTAGATTTTCCTATTTTAATTCAGTTCATTTTTTGAAGTATCATAATATTTGATAAGATAGTTTTATAGCCACACCTGTGGCTTTAATACAATTATGTAGTATGATATAGGTTAATAAAGAACATATAGTACATATATTTGTAGTATAATGTGTTTATTTTTGTTGATATTTTATTGTCTTGAGCCATATATCTTCTTAATTATCTATTTTAAAAATATATTTTTAGATTCTGGCAATGGTAGAAGAAGCAGCTGGTACAAGAATGTATGAAGTTAAAAGACAACATGCACAGAAATTGATTGATAAAAAAGATGCAAAACTACAAGAATTAATGTCAGTAAGTATAAGATAATAATGCAAGTGGACATGTAATATTGTGCTCAAAGTAAATAGGTTGCATTATAGTACTATTAACTTGTTAGTAGGAGCATAATTGTTGGA